ACCACCTTGCCTGCTGACCAGTCAAGGTGTGGATTGTGCTTTTGAAGCCAGGGCAGACCAAGAACTATTGGGGCACGAGAAGAAGGCATCACATGGAACTGGATGGTTTCACGATGGTTACCAGAGAGTAGGAGATGAAGGGACTCAGTGCGGTGGGTGACCTGAGCGAGAAATTCTCCATTAAGAGCATTAGCATCCACAGGGGTGGATAGCGGTTCAACCGGAATGCCAGCTTGTGCTACCAGATTGGAATCAATCAAGTTCTCATCTGCCCCAGAATCCACTAGGGCGAGGAGGGAGAGAGTTAGAGAGTTAATCACAATTGTGGCATCGAGTTGAATACGAGTCCAGGGAAACAAAGAGACAGAGGGTCGACTCACCAGAACCCCGACTGCTACTGATGAGTCTTCTCTTTTAACCGCAGGGGACAAGAAACCAGAAAATGCCCTGCTTGTCCACAGTAAATACACACTCCTGCTCAGACTCTCTGCAGCCGCTCTGCTGGCGAGAAACGGCTTCGGCCCAACTGCATGGTTTCCTCCTCGAAGCTGGAGGAAGGGTTACTGGCGACCACACTAGATATGGGCGAGGGTTCAGGCCCCACCTTGGGAAAAGGTGAAGGTACCAGATGGGTTCCTTGGAAAGTAAGGGCTTGGCGGAGATCAGAGGAGGCTTGAAAAAGCTCATCTGAGACCGCTGGGTCAAAGTTCTGGTCAGATCGTTCTGTCATGGTTACACAGGAACTGACCCAAAATGCAGGCTCAGACAATGGTTGGTGAGAGAAGGGGATTTATTGTGACGTGGGAGAAAAGGGGAAGGAGAGGGTCCGATAGCGAGGTGGAGGGAATGGCTGAGGTGAAACAGTGGTTGGAACAGATGAAGAAGGCACAGAGTGTGAACTCTCTGGAGATGGTAAAGAGCAGGCAAGCAGGTGGCAGGAGGTGAAGATGGTGGTGGACCTGAGCACAAGAGAATAGGTGGTTAGAGATCAGTCAGGAAGTTAACAGGAAGCACAAGGAACAATAGTTTAAGGCGATCTGAAAGTGAACTACCACAGTGGCTGAACAAACGATCTGACAAGGAGTGGGAGAAAGGCCAGGGTTTATATGCAGTCGGAGTAATGACTTGATGGAAGGCAGGTGAGCTGAGGAAAGGCAGGTGTGCTTCATCAGTGATTATCCAGGAGGGACCAGGGAAAGGTGCCAGGCCCACAACACAGACAGAGACAAGTACACACAAAGGACGGGGGAAACACAGGGAAACAACAGTCACGACTGCCATCGTGACAACAGTGGAACCTCGAGATACGAGCGTTTCATACAAGCCTTAATTTGCTAGAGATACGACTAAAGACTTGAGATACGAGCACGCTTACAGAAGCCGACGCCAGGTGGCCGAGCACTCGGAGCAGCCTACGTCGCTTCACGTGTTCGCCGACTTCCGTACGCATCTCCCACGAGTCTTCCATATTCTGTTTGCGTTATCTACGTGATTTTCTCTCTATTTTGTGCATTATTCTTTATAATAGTAAGAGAGTGAGTGGTAAGGACGGTAGTGAGAAGCAGAAATGCATGATGACCATGGAAATAAAGCAGTGAAATATGAGCGTGTTGCCTGCTAAAGAAAGAATACAAATCGAAAAAAGCAAAAAAAATAATGATTAAAAATTATGTAAGTTACATAGTTTACGTGTAAGGTACGGTACAGAATGAGGCAGTGGTGGCCTAGTGGTAAAGGAAGCGGACTTTGGTCCGGAAGGCCCCAGGTTCGAATCCACCAACTGCCAGGTTGCCACT